GTTCCTTTTTTTTTTTTTTTTTTTTTTTTTTGAGATGGAGTCTGGCTCTGTCACCTAGGCTGGAGTACAGTGATGCCATCTCGACTCACTGCAGCCTTAGCCTCCTGGGTTCCAGCAATTCTCCTGCCTCAGCCTCCCAGGTACCTCGGATTATAGGCGACCCCAACCACCCACAGATAATTCTTGTATTTTTAACAGAGACGGGGTTTCACCATGTTGGCCAATTGCTCTCAAACTCCTGACTTCAGATGACCCCTTGCCTCAGCCTCCCAAAGTGCTAGGATTACAGGCATGAGCCACCACAGCTGGACTCTTTTGTTTTTTATTTTTCATTTATTTGTTTCTTTCTTACTTTTCATGAGATGGAAACTCACTCTGCAGCCCAGGCTGCAATGCAGTGGTACGATTTCAGCTCACTGCAACCCTGCCTTTCAAATTCAAGTGATTCTTGCCCCTCAGCCTCCCAAGTACCGAGAACTACAGGTGCATGCCACCACGCCCAGCTAACTTTTGTATTTTCACTAGAGACAGGGTTTCTCCATGTTGGTCAGGCTAGTCTTGAACTTTCGACCTCCAGTGATCCATCCACCTCAGTTTCCCAAAGTGCTGGCATAAGAGGCATGAGACACCACACCTGGTCTGATGACTTTTTTTTTTTTTTTTTTTTGTTAAGACAGGGTTTCACCATATTGGTCAGGATGGTCTTCAACTCCTGACCTCAGGTGATCCGCCCGCCTTGGCCTCCCAGAGTGCTGGGATTACAGGCATGAGCCACCGAGCCTGGCTCTGATGACTCTTAAAAAGTACTATGGGCCGGGTGTGGTGGCTCATGGCTGCAATCCCAGCACTTTGGGAGGCCAAGGCGGGCAGATCACCTGAGGTCAAGCCTTTGAGACCAGCCTGACCAACATGGAGAAACCCTGTCTCTACTAATTTACCCCTGTTTTTTCTTCTGAGACAGGGTCTGGCTCTGTTGACCAGGTTGGAGTGTAGTGGCATGATCTTGGCTCACTGCAGCTTAGACCTCCTGGGCTCAAGTGATTCTCTGCCTCGGACTCCAGAGTAACAGGGAATACAGGTGCACACCACCATGCCCAGTTACTGTGTGTGTGTATGTCAGAGATGGGGTCTCACTATGCTGCCCAGGCTGGTCTGGAACTCCTGCACTCCATCAGTCCCCTTGCCTCAGTCTCCTAAATTGTGGGGATTACAGGCAGGAGCCACTGCACCCAGCCCCTCTTTATTCATTACTCTGCTTCCCTCCCTAACTCTGCACATCTCTCTCATTCTCCCCTTCTCTCTAGCTCTTCCTTTCTTTTCTTTTTCCCTGGGATTCTGCTCCTCACTTTGTCCCCCTCCCCTCTCCTGCTGTTTATCCCCTTCTCCCCTCTATTCCTCCTTTTCCACCTCTTCTGCTCCATCCTCACAACTTATTTAACCTCTTGTTGCTCCTTCTCCCCAGTCGTCCTCAATCTCTCTATATTTCTACCTCTTCTCCCCTCTCTGCGCCTCCTCTACTATCCCTGTTAAATTCTCTCTTCCCTATTATACCCCCGCACCCGCCCTCTGGCACCCCACATCCCCAGGTGTCCTCCCTCCTGTGGTTCCCTCTGTTCTCCTTGCCACCAGCACCCTCTGTTCTGTCTGCCCAGGCTCCAAATCCCTCCTCGTCTCCCTCACTCTCATGAGCCTCCCTCTTTGCTGCCCCATCCGGACCTTGCTGTTCTTCATCTCTCTGTACATCTCGCTTTTCTCTACATTTCTCCAGTTGCTTTTCTCCTCCTACGTTTTATTTTACTTTTTTTTTCACTTTTGCTGTCTCTTGGCAAATCCCTCACTCATCCTCTACTTTGCCATCTGTTATGGGTGTTTCTCATTCTTTTCTCTTTCCCAGGTTTTCTACTGCTCTCTGTCTCCAGGCATCTTTAGCCCACACAATCACAGGAGGGTTTGGAGTAACACGCCTGCATCCCAGAGGTGCGCATTTTCCAGGGGCCGCAGCTGGGCAGGTAAGAACAGCCCGTGTCACAGGACAGGCCCCGGGCACCTCCTCAACGCGAGCTCAGGGGAAGTAGTGACTGCGGAGGGGAGACATGGGAAGTAGCAGGGCCTCGAACGACAGCACCTTAAGACAAAAGTGGTGTCTGCAGAATACCACGACCAGGCAGAGGACGTCTTTCCCTGGACTGGGGCTGCAGCGCTGCGCTCAGGGGTCCGGACCAGGGCGAGGGCGGGAGGTGCCCAGGGCGGGAATCCTCCTCCCGGGTGAGGACTTCAAAAAGCGCGGGGCGGTAGGAGTCAGAAAAAGGTTTTGAGCCGAAACTCTACGCGAGCCGAAACACTACGCAACCCGAAGTGTACACAACGTCCTGCCACGGAAAAACCAGGACGGGACCAGCCTCAGCGTGACCTTAAACCCACAAGGAAGCGACCCCCGGGCACTCAAGGGGACGTCTCAATTTACTCTGGGTAAAGGAAGACCGGCGAGAATTTCCAGGTCTGTCGGACTCCACATCCCAGGTCCAGAAGCGTCAGGGACCTGGGACAAGCAGACTTAGTAGAAGACAGAGCGAAACTCACGCGCCGCGGAGGGACCCTCATTCCACGCGATCCGCTTCCGGGTTTGCGCGAGTCTGCGCGCGCAGGACAGAAGCCAGGCCTGGGCGGGACCCGCGCGGAGGTGGGCGGGGCCTGGGCGAGGAAGGGGCGCGAGGCGAAGAGACCTTGCCCTTCAGAACCAGCAGAGGGCGGGGCGGGCCTGCACCTGCGCGTCTCTCAGCCTCGCTCCCAGCGCCTGTTTTTGGGTTTTGGAGGCGAGACCGGCCAGGAAGGCTGAGGCATGGGTCAAAAGCCCTGGAATTGTCTGGAAGGGCGATGCAAACCAGAATGTGAAATGCAAAGCCCTTGCTTGGGCCGAACGTACGATTTCATGCTGATGCCTACGGAACAGAACAGAAATCCTCTCCCTTTCTACTCTCCATTTACTCGGGAGGGACAGTCCAGCCTGTGCTCAGCAGCAGAGACTTCCCTGACGCCGCCGGCTGGGATGCGGGACTAAGTTAAGTGCTCAGGCCAGGGAGGAGTGGGGTCACCACCTGCTGCCTGAACAGGGCAGACGTGAGGGCGCGAGGGC